TATATATATATATATATATATATATATATATACCCTCTTGTGGTATTTTTTTCCACTCTTTTAAATATTTCCCAGATTTTGTCCAAACAGAGCAAGGAATTTCTCATAATATTTCCTATATGTATTTTTCTTCTGGAGAAAGTCTGATTTGTTTTATTTCGGCTACAATAAAAGCAGTTTTTAATAAAAAAAGAAAAACATTTAAGGTCAATATTATTAGCCCCATTAAGCTATATTTAGTTATGATTATCTAAAAAAATAGTTTTTGTATGTAGATATAAAATATATGTTTATATAATACAAAATATACTGTATATACACATTTAAATATCTATGTAACAAATTATTTTGTATAGTTCTGTTTCTATAAACAAATTTTTATTTTGGTTATGATTAATAATGAATAATCATTGCCCAGCACAAAAAGAATTTTATAAAATGCATAAAATGAAATAAAATAATATATAAATTGAATAAAATTTTAATAAATAAAATAGAAATAAATCTTTAAATATATATATTTTTATCATAGATTAAATAAAATAAAACATTTAAATTGAATCAAAATAAATGTAAATTTAAATGAAAATTAAATTTAAATTAAATTGGATAAAATGCAGAAAGAAAAAAAACAGTTATTAATTTTTTATAAACCATTTTAAGGTCAATATTATTAGCTCCCTTAAGCAATATTTTTTTCGATAGTCTACAGAACAAACCACTGTTACTCAATGACTTGCCTAATAAATCTAACCTGCCTAATTAACCTAGTTAAGCCTTTAATGCAATTTTAATCTGAAGAATCTCTTTAGAAATGTTGAAAACAATCTTCTCTCCGTTAAAAAGAAATTGGAGGGGGAAAAAAAAGCTCATTTTTGTGCTCCAATTGATTCTTAATCTGTTCTTCATTCACAGCCTGTATGAAGTGCCCTCGATCTCTGCGTCCTCCTTCTCCCAGCACCTCCAGCGTCTACTGGCTGAAGCTGATGAGACTGACAACATCCACGACATCACCCTTCAGGCTGGCGATCGCACCTTCCCCGCTCACAAATACATCCTGTCTGTTCGCTCCGACTTCTTCCGGAAAATCCTGTTGCCAGAGGCCGAGAGAGAGGGTGATGGAGAGGTGAGGCGGGGAGAGGACGCGGTGGGCTGTGACCTGTTGGTGCTGGAGAAGATTCCCCCGGAGCTGCTGGAGCAGGCGCTGAACTTCATCTATACTGACTCCTGTGATATGCTGGTGGATGGGGCCTGTCCCATCATTCCTCGCTGCAACCGGAGCTCCAAGCCGGAACCTGAGGAAGTGCTGGAGCCTGAGTCAGAGCAGCTCATCCACAGTCTGCAGGTTCTGGGTCTGGAGAAACGCTCCGCTCTAGATGTCTACCGCTCTCTTCCAGTACAGATGCGGAAGGAAGCAGAAAAGCCGAAAACAGCAGGCAAAAACAACAAATCTGGAAAAAAAGTAAAAAATGTTGCTGAAAATGGACAAAACCCTGTGAAGATGCTGCAGGGAGTCGCCAAAAAACTGGGCCTAGGGAGTCTGTCAGCACGGTAAACATATTTTATTTATTTAATATATAATCTTTTTTAAAAAACCATTTTTCGTATGTATGTATGTACAGTGCATCCGGAAAGTGTTCATAACGCTTCAATTTTTCCAAATTTTTTTATTTTACAACCTAATTCCAAAATGGATTAAATAATTTTTTTCCTCAATTCTACATGCAATCCCCCATAATGACAGTGTGAAAAAAAGTTTTTGAAATTGTTGCAAATTTATTAAAAATAAAAAAACCTGAAAAATCACATGTACATCAGTATTCTCAGCCTTTACCGTGAAGCTCTAAACTGAGCTCAGGTACATTCTGTTCCCACTGACCACTCTTGAGATGTTAAAGCAGCTTAATTGGAGTTCACCTGTGGTAAATTCAGTTGATTGGACATGATTTGAAAAGGCATACACCTGTCTATATAAGGTCCCAGGGTTGACGGTGCATGTCAAAGCACAAACCAAGCATGAAGACAAAGGAATTGTCTGTAGACCTCGAGGCACAAGGCTGGGGAAGGTTACAGAAACATTTCTGCTGCTCTGAAAGTTCTAATGAGCACAGCAGCCTCCATCATCCGTAGGTGGAAGATGTTTAACCACCAGGACTCTTCCTAGAGCTGGCCGCCCATCTAAGCTGAGAGATCGGGGGAGAAGGGCCTTAGTCGGGGAGGTGATCAAAAACCCGATTATCACTCTGTCTGAGCTCCAGCGTTCTTCTTTGGAGAGGGAGACCTCACAGAAGGATAACCATCTGTGCAGCAATCTACCAATCAGGCTCGTATGGTTGAGTGGCCAAACGGAAGCCGCTCCCCGCCTGGAAATTGCCAAAACGCATCTGAAGGATCCTCAGACCATAAGAAACTAAATTCTCTGCTCTGATGAGACTAAAATTGAACTCTTTGGAGTGAATGCCAGATGTTACATTTGGAGAAAACCAGGCAGCGCTAATCACCAGGCTAAAACCATCCCTACAGTGAGGCATGGTGGTGGCAGCATCATGCTATGGGGGTGTTTTTCAGCAGCAGGAACTGGAAGACTAGTCCGGATAGAGGGAAAAATGAATGCTGCAATGTACAGAGACATCCTAAATGAAAACCTGCTTCAGAGCCCTCTTGTCCAGCAGGACAATGACCCAAAGCACACCACCAATATATCAATGAAGTGGCTTCACAACAACTCGTTGAATGTCCTTGAGTGGCCCAGCCAGAGCCCAGACCCAAATCTTATTGAACATCTCTGGAGAGATCTGAAAATGGCTGTACACTGTCACTTCCCATTCAACCTGATAGAGCTTTAGAGGTACTGCAAAGAGGAATGGGCAGAAATAGACGGGTGTGTCAAGCTTATGGCATCATATTCAGAAAGACTTGAGGCTGTAATCGCTGCCAAAGGTGCATCAACAAAGTATTGAGAAAAGGCTGTGAATACTGATGTACATCTGATTTTTCAGGTTTTTTTTATTTGTAATAAATTTAAAACAATTTCAAAAACTCTGTTTTCACATTGGCATTATGGGGGATTGTGTGTCGAATGTTTAATGAATTTAATCAATTTTGGAATAAGGCTGCAACATAAAAAATGTGGAAAAAGGGAAGCACTATGAATACTTTCCGGATGCACTGTACATGCATGCCTGTGTGAATTTATACATTCATAATCAATACACACAGTACACACACTTAAGTTATGTCTAAACAAAATTGTTTTTGCCGAGCACTAATATTTTCATCAATTTTTCCTATAAAGTTAACCCTTAGTTTGCATCTTACATCCTAACCCATTCTGCATTTGAGCAACTTTTCATTAATGAATAGTTATCAGGTTATTAAGGCAGCATATGAGGTATTTATTCCATGTTGTCATAACAAAGACATGTGCATTTAAAATGACATAACTGAGCATATAACACTTAATGACCATTGCTATAAGCATGCATAAAATCTCTCACCAAAATATTTGACTCTCATGATACTGTTACAATTATGTAATAAGGGCTTTATTATTGAGGGTGTTGTAATTGAATGTTTTCTCCATATGTAGGCTGGACGGTGTGAAGTTTGAGAATGGGAAGATCAGTGTGGGGTTACAGAAGAAAAGGGGCAACAAGCCTCGATTCACCCTGAAGAAGGGGTAGGTTTTTCCTCTTCTCATCTGAGCTCATGTTCCTGTTTCGGTGTGTGTAAATGCTGATGTTTTCATTCTGTGATTACAGCTCACATCTCTGCGACGTTACTCTGCGCTCTGTGGACGGAAAAGAGTTCTCCTGCCACAAGTGTATCCTCTGCGCTCGACTGGGTGAGCTCTTAAATGCTGCATTTAAACTTATTCATATTTAATCTAACTTTTATTGACATTTAATATGAAATGGTTCCCTCTTTTTCTGCAGAGTATTTCAACAGTATGCTGGGCAGCTCCTGGATGGAGGTATGATGAAACGCCATTAAAATGACTCGTCTTTTACTTGCCACAAACCTGTTTGAGTTTCTTTTTTTTGCTCAAACTACAAGATGTTCTGAATAGCGATGCTCATTTCGGTTAATTTTGCTAACCGACAATTAATCGGTTATTAACGGTTAACTGGTCAGATTACTATTAATTTTATATTAAACAAATTGACGTGTCTATTTTGTGTCCGACACATTAAATATTGCATTTTAAAATACTGATTTATTTTTATATGCTAGCATATTAACAATAGAACAATACAACAGAGCATTTTCACGCACCTGCAGTGTTTAGCACAGAAGAACAGAATAAACTAAATAAAATAAATAGGACTGCCCTAAATTATTTTCACTGAAATAATTAATTTATATTACAAAACGAAAATACTGACTGATTCTTTTTAATAACCGGCATAGGCTGTTTTTTTCCAATCATGTTTTTTTCTTCCGTCAAATAAAAATAGCTTCCTCAAATTGTTATTATTAAAAATTATTAAATATAACTTCCTCAAATTGCCCGCTCCACGGAAAATATGCATTTATTTAATGCCCCGCTGTTATTATTATAAATCACAGAACCTTTTACATTTTTAATAAAAATCTTTTTTTTAAAGATTATGTCTTGCTATATGGTTTCCTCTCTCTCCCTCGCGGTTAAGTGCGCACGCTGTGTGATGAAAAGACGCGCATATGTTGACTTTTTGTAAACAGTTTTGTTGTTTAATATGATATTGCATTAATGTGCATACATGCTTTATAAGCTGTAAAATAAAAGGTAAAGCCTATTTGTTGCGTTTATGACGCAGATCCAGGTTAACATCAGCCGAAATGGCATCAGGGCCGAAAAGGCGCACCTCACTGTTTTTATGTTGACAAGGAAAAAAGAAGAGAAGGAGCGCGGTCCTCTTATGAAACGACTGAATCACATTATAATATTACAATTGTAATATTTAATAATATTGTGATATTCAAGATTTGTACATTCATACAGCTCTGGATAACTTAAAACAGCGATTAGACATTCATAGCGGCATTAATGCGTCCTGAAGTAAAGCGAAACGGCTATAAACTCCAGCAAGATAGAGTGATTATATGCAGAGCCATATACCTTTATCTATAAATAAAGTATAACTATAGAAACTGTGTTCATCTTAACTGAAAGCTTCGTCGAGTTTGCTGGCCTCACGCATCGCGCACCTGTCAGTCAGTCAGTCAGCACGTAACGCCAACAGATAGCGCACAGCACTTTACGGTTACAGAAAAATTTGCGCTGTTATAATTCACTTACCTTCTAATACGTTTCGATGCGATTATAATCTGCTATTAAAAACAACAACAATAACTGAATGTTTTGAAAGGGTAATGTAACCGTGGCGGGATGCATTTTGTTCCCTGCCATGGAAGAATGAAAGTAGCGGAAACCATGCTCTTTAAATGTTCTCTGTAGTTGTCTTGACAACACAAACTGCTGCTCTGGTATGTGCCGCGTGCAAAAGATGCCCCTCTTAACGCAAAGGCGCATTTAATCAGCCCCTTATGCAGCCAAACTAAAAATATATAAAATAATATTTTTAATCGTTTAACTGATAGCATTAATCGGTTACAAACGCACCCTTTCGGTTAACGGTTAATCGAGTATTTTGAACATCCCTAGTTCTGAAGTAAGCTGGAAATCTGTAACCATTGACTTCATCAATAGTATTTGTTTTTTCTGCTATTGATAACAATGAGCCGGCAGCTAGCTCTCTGCAACTCTCACATGGTCGCCCACCCGGTCAGTACCTGGATGGGAGACCTCATGGGAAAGCTAGGTTGCTGATGGAAGTGGTGTTAGTAAGGCCAGCAGGGGGCGCCTAACCTGCTGTCTGTGTGGGTCCTAATGCCCCAGTATAGTGACGGGGACTCTATACTGTTCAGTGAGCACCGTCTTTCGGATGAGACGTTAAACCGAGGTCCTGACTCTCTGTGGTCGTTAAAAATCCCAGGATGTCCTTCGAAAAGAGTAGGGGTTTAACCCCGGTATCCTGGCCAAATCTGCCCACTGGCTTCTGTCCATCATGGCCTCCTAACCATCCCCATATTCCAATTGGCTTCATCACTGTCTCCTCTCCACCAATCAGCTGGTGTGTGGTGTGCGGTCTGGCGCAAAATGGCTGCCATCGCGTCATCCAGGTGGATGCTACACACTGGTGGTGGATGAGTAGACCCCCCCCCCCAACCTCCCCACCCATTGTGTGTAAAGCGCTTTGAGTGCCCAGAAAAGCGCTATATAAATGTAAGGAATTATTATTATTATTATTATTAACAATAGTTATCAGTTTACAACAATCTTCTAGATGGCTTTTTGTGCTCAAAAAAACGTTTGAACCTCTTGAAAGAGTTTAATTTTGAGAGTCTTGTTTTCATGTGGGTGAACTGCACCTTTAAGAAGAGTTCTAAACTGGAGGTGTTTGTTTTTTTGCTGTCTTCTGCCCTCTTCAGGCCACCAGCTGCTCTGCGCTTAGTCTGCCCATCAGCTCTGAGGTCCTGCAGGTGATCCTAGAGTACATCTACACCGACGAGTCTCACACCGTCAGAGGTTCTCTATCCACTCAGGCCTGAATCACATCTGCTGCACCTGTCTGCGTGTGTGTGTGTGTGTGTGTGATCCACATCTGTATCTCTCTTCATACAGACGCTGTGAATATGGAGTTTGTGTGTAATGTGCTGGTGGTGGCCGATCAGCTGCTCATCACCAGGCTGAAGGAGATCTGTGAAGTCGTCATCGCCGAGAAATGTACGTCTACTCCTCTTGCTTTCTTCTAATACCCAGATGTATGTTTTAAAATGAATTCAGTTGTATAGTTTCACTTCAGAATGCTAGATATTTCGAGTAACATGAAAACTGATTCCAGCAACAAGCAATTTGGCTGTTCGCATCAAACACAACATGACACTACCTTTTTGATACCAGCCATTCATTTAAATAGCAGCCACTGCGCTCCCATCAAAATAGTAAGGGCTATAATCGAAATTAAATAAAATAAAAAAATATATACATAAAAAAAACATTTTATTGAATACAAATTAAATAGAAATAAAGTTTTAAATAAAATGAAAAAAAATATTAGAGATGAAATAAAATAAAAATTTAAATTAAATAAAAATAATTACAATAATATCTAAATTTAAATAAAAAATACAAAAAAAAAGCATTTAAATTAAATTAGATAAAATGCAGAATGAAAGAAATGTGGTTATTAATTATTTTAAAAACATTTTAAAAATCAATTCATACATATTTAACGTTATTAAAAAGCTACCGAGCGACTGATGTTGGTTCGGTCACAGTTCTGATTTTCATTTTCAAATCGTTTGCTAGTTATTTTATTTTCAAGATCTCAGGTGAACTCTCTGCTGGAGCATTCAGTATGGCTATAAATGTCATGTAAAATGGTATTCGAACTCACATTGGTAGCATTTAACATTGAATAAAGCCCATAATCAGTACCTGAAGGAACCATTGTCATAGTAGTTTATGCTCCTTTTCTGCTGCTACATCGCAGATATTGAAGGTATTTCTAAAATACACATTTTGTGCGTCGCAGATGTTAGGATAAAAACTCCTTTAAACATTTTATAATGTGTAACGTTGCATTTATTTAAGAACATTTAAGCTGTATTGTTTATTATTGTAATACTTATACTATTTATACTTTAATGTTGCTCTCACATTTTGACAAAAATATTTAGACAATAGTGTATTGAGGATATATTGTATTCTGTGCAGTGATGCTGAAGAACGCTGCAGAGTTGCTGGAGTTTTCCACCATCTACAACGCAGAGCAGCTCAAACTGTCCTGTCTGCAGTTCATCGTCCTCAACATGGCGGCGCTGCTGGAGTCAAAGTAAGATAGAGACTCTTACATCTGCTGCATAAACCTTTACAGCTCCCAAACATGCTCACAGCTCACACTCAAGTGGTTCTAAACTTTATTGAATTTCTTTCTCCTGTCGAGCACAAAGGAATATATTTTGAAGAATGCTGGAAAAAGCAGCCATTGACATGCATTGTAAGAACAAAATCAATACTGTGGAAGTCGATGGCTGTTTTTTCCAGCATTCTTCATTATATTTTCCTTTGTGTTCAACAGATGAAAAAAGTGAGAAAATGACGACAGATTTAAAATGTTTTTGTGAACCAGCCCTCAAATTTAATTGCTTGCATGTCATCAGTTTACTTTGAGCCTTAGGCCCCGTTTACACTAGTGCGTTTTAGTTTTAAAACGGCGTTTTAGAATGAAAACGATCCGCGTTTTACCCAGCGTTTCTGAACTGCTCTCCGTCCACACCAAAACGCTGAAAACGCACATCACGTGACCACACACACACTCTCTGGCAAGCGCTGCAGCTCATCTACCCAGATGAGAGCTCTGCTAGTCGGACTTCTCATCAAGCATCTACCGCTGGATCTAATATCTCACTATATTTATTAAACGGGATATTTCATTCATCTTGTTGTCTTTATCTAACGACATATTCCCTGACTTTGGTCATTAGAATCTTACTTGTTCTCAGGTAACGTGTTTTGGCTGAGCGCAAAGATAAGTTAATGATTGATGAAACCACGTAGCCTATTATGTATATTGACTGATCGCTTGCCTTTATTTCCTATAATGTATAAACTTATTGTATGTTATACTTTTATAATGGCCATTATCGATTATTAAAACTGATATTCAGCAAAAGAGAGGGTGTGTTTCGTATTTTCACTGAAATTGAAAGGAGTTGTTATCGGCTCCGTTTTGTTATAAATATCCACACAGTGAAGATGACGCTCATGCAGCACGGCGCCTCAACATTTCTGCTGTCTGTTTAGTTGTTAATATTAAAATAAAAATAGGCAGTTCCTTAAATCATGTATACAATTTATTGTTGAGAAAGTGAAACAACGTAGCCAGGGTGATGTGAATGAAGATATAAAGTACACTGTTCCCTTTGAAGATTTACCCGTGTCCTCGGTATAGTCTGTTTTCCATATCAAACTGAGAAGAAGAGACTGCAGCCTTGATCAAACATGCGAAGTCTTAACTTACACGGAGAAAATGCAGGACTGAACTGTGTGTGTTAGGCTACTTAATATTCAGGAAAAGCCCCAATCAGAGAGGCGAATGTCAGCAGCCCCGCCTCCGTTTTCAGATGTCTCCGTTTTCCATCATCCACACTGAGACGGAGCAGCAGCGTTTCAGAATGGCCTCTCCAGCGTTTTCGAAATGCTCCGTTTTCGGCGCTCGAGAACTCCGGCGTAGTGTGGACGGTTGGCGTAACCGTACCAAAACTTATGCGTTTTCAAACTAAAACGCATTAGTGTAAACGGGGCCTTATTCAACTGTATTGTGTTTTAAGAATGAATGTGCGAAGGTTAAATATTTTGACAAAGCTAGATTTATTAAATCAAAGCTGCAGTAGAAACGGCAATATTGTTGAAAAGTATTGTAATTCAAAATGATGGTTTTGTAAAATGTCATTCATTTCTGTGTATTTTCAACATCATTACTGCCGTCTTCATGATTCTTTATAAGTCATTTAAACTGATGATGGTACGATTTTTAGCATAATAGAAAAAGTGGATCTTTACAGACTAAAAACTTTGATATTATTTTCTGCTGGATACCTGGACATATGGGATTCATTGGAACTGAACGTGCAGATAAAGCAGCTAAGGAAGCTTTACAGTTGGAGATGACAGAATGTAAAATTCCTGTGTCTCATATTAAACCCGTTATGAATCTGTATATTATAAGAAATGGCAAATAGAATGGGATAAATGTAGGAAAAACAAATTGGATGAAGGGAATCCATTTGTAGATGAAAGAAATAATTACCGTTTTGAAATAGACATGATCAGGTTGTACATACAAGATGCAGAATCGGACACTCAAAACTTAAACACGCATGTTTGTTGAAAAGGGGAAGAAAAACCTATTTGTGACTTGTGTAAGAATATTTTGACGATAAAACATATTTTAATAGAATGTGTATTTTTAAAATGATATTAGAGAACGTTTTTATTTGGGAAATATTTTAAGTGAAATGTTTGAAAAGGTGCCTTATGGAGCACTTTTAGAATATTTACCTTTAATCAAACTAAAAGATTGTATATGACTCTTTTCAGTGTTGTTGCTACTTGTATACATTTTGCAGTTTTTTTACAATACATGTTTGTTAAGAAATTGATTTGATTTTATTATTTGTATATAGTGTATTTATATAAGTATGTTTTTGCCATCAATATAGCCAATGCTGCTGAAATGACATTAAAGCCTAAATAAACGGATAAATAAATGTAGAAGTCATTCTTATTAGCTGATTTTAACTATTAAGTATTATTATTATTATTATTATTACTAGTTATTCTTATTATTATTTTTAATATTATTACTATTACTAATTATTATTATTATTATTATTATTATTATTATTATTATTACTCTCATGCACATCATCTATGAAATCTGTTATATTTTTGGAAACTGTGATGATTTTCTTTTTCAGTGTTCTTTGTAGAATAAAATGTTCAGCAGCTTTTATTTTAAATAGAAAAACCTTTTGTTACATTATTCACCTTATTCTCCGCCGACGAGCAGGCGCTGCCATTTGAATCTTTTTGGCTTAAGACTTCCGGTCTCATTCACTTCCATTCATTTTTTGACGTTAAAAACTGCTCATTACACTGCTTGATGTTGCAATTTGATATTTTCTTATTATTTTATTCTACTTGGTCTGTATAGTCATGCAAACATTTGTTTGTAGAGCAAGTAGTTTGACCGTTTTCTGCCGTTTATTATTCCTAGTCATTTCTCCCATAGGCGACTGAATCGGAAGTTCTAAGACAATCGTGTAAACAGGCGCACTTCCGCATTTTAGAAAAAGGTCAATAAATAGCTTTAGTATTAAAGTTTATCCTGGTCCAGTATGAAATAAAAGGTCAAAAATTAAGGAATATAAACCTTGTTTTGAAAGAAGAAATGTTCTGCATGGATGGATATTCTTGAAGGAAAAAAGAAATGCAGAAATAGATCCTTACACTTTTTATTGTCTGTCTGTCAGAGCGCTGGAGATCCTGAGCGATGACGTCCTCGTGGATGTAGCGGCTGCGTACAGAAGAACGGTGAGTTCAAATCCTTACTTTGGGTTAGTTCGCCTAAAAATGAAAATTATCCATTGATTTAATCGCCATCAAGGTATCTTAGCTTTAAGTGACAGAACTTAATTTGCCATATTGATTGTTACACTTTTCCACATTCAAACTACATGAGTGACATGTCTTATGTATTCTATAGTCTTTATTATTACACCAGAATAGGAGTTTAGTTACTAACTCTATCGGTCTAGAAAATAGGAAATTTTCGTTTTTCATTGGTCTTAGTACACGATGTAACTACAGAAGAGTTTTAAATAGTAAAATCTTGTCGTCTCTTTCATTTATTTATTGGAGCGAGATGCTAATAGTCTAAATAGATTCAATGGTTTGTGCTAAGCTAAAAGTGTTCCCACCAGGCCCCGAGAGATTGTCTGAATGGATTCTAAAATGGTAAAACTCTACCATCCAATGGTAAAACTGTTTAACTAAAGGGCACTTTAAAAAAAAAAAAAAAACGTGGAATGTTCCTAAAGGCCCGAGACACACCAAGCCAAACAGTTGGTCATGAGCTTTGTCGGGCCATCTGTAAGCATTTCTCTAACTAGTGTGTTTGGTGTGTTCCACATGTTGATTCTAGTCGGGATAACATTGGATCGAGTTGGCCCGATTCAGCATGTAGAACCCATAGATATATACACTAGATATCGCATAGGGACCCTGAGCATGCGTCAATAGCGCCGCCACATTGGTACAGTGCTCCTAGGACAAATATCATTCAACCGCACTAGTCAAGACAGTGTTATTACGTGAAGATGCGGGACTTTAGCGCTTTCTACGGGTGTAGTAATGAGCAAACAAAGAAAACAAAGCACAAAGGCAGAACATTTCATAGGTAATATTAAGTTTTTTTCTGTTTTTGTATGTTCTGAACTTTTGTGCTAATCAGGTAACGTTATTGATGATGACAGTCACTTACTGCATTCACCATAGGGCAAAGCAGCTCCAACTCGCACTAAACACTCGGCTTATGCTAGTTTTGTTGAATAAAATCAGCAAACAATGCAAAAGAAATATGACAATGAGATGCTGCGCTGCCAGAAACTTGTATTATTGTCGGCTAACGTTAGTGAAAGAGCTGTTCTGGGGATTCATTCACAAACGAATCGCTCCCTCCGTCACTATGAGAAGTGAAAGCAGGAGAGGAGGTGTGTTTCAGGACATGATTAGATCAAATTAAACAGGCAGGGTGGATAGTACATTTCTGTACACACAAACACAAGCTTTTTGTCAGGAATGCCCGTGCGGTCACTGATCCATCAATGTAGAAAAGTGATGTAAAATTATAATTTTCCTAATTAGAAAAAAAAATTACATACTAACATCCAGGAAAACTCCCGATCATAGATATATGTGTAAATGTGTATATCTCTGGCTTTGGATGGCCACAGTCCTCCACTGAACCTTGGTCCTGCATTCATTTTAAAGGAGCGCTACCCTGTACCAAGATGGCGGTGCTATTGACTCATTCCGTCCAATAGACAACAATAGGCCAGGCGACATCTAATGTATATATCTATGTGTAGAATCAGCTTCGGTTGTTGGCTGAAGAGAGCACTCTGATTGGTTGCTGAATAACAAGATCCAAAAACTAAAGAGGCGTAGCTTGTAAACATATAAAATAAAGAAAGAACACAAAGAGACCAGCTGTACATTTCTCAAATATTTATTAGATATTGCATAAACCAGTCCCTCCGTGATGTGTGACAATAACGGTGACGATAGTAGTAGTAAACGCTAAAAAAGTAATAAACACTGCTTTGTTTATACTTTGTGTTTCTTCCTGTTTTCTTTTGCGGAATGAGAGAACAGATATCTAGTGCGGAAATACACATTCAAAATTGTTTACCCAAGGAAGTATTTCCTATAATATATATTTTTTTCCAATTTGTTTTATTTTGGCTAGAATATTTTTATAAAACTATTTTAAGGTTAATATTATTAGCCCTCTTAAGCAATATTTCTAGTCAAATAGTCTACAGAACAAACCTAATTAAGCCTTTAAATGTTGCTTTAAGGTAAATACTAGTATCTTGAAAAATATCTAGTCAAATATTATGTACTGTCATCATGGCAAAGATAAAATAAATTGGTTATTAGAAATGAGTTATGTTTAGAAATGTGTTGGGAAAAAAAATCTTAATGCTCTTGTTTCGGTTGGCTGCGGTCCATTTGGTGTGTTCACAAGCATCTGTTTGCTCCAGACAGGGCCAAACGCAAGCAGACAACACGGTTGCTTTTTGTTGGAGCTTGTTGTTTGGCATTGGCTTGGTGTGTCCCGGCCCTTAAAAGCTCTGTTCAGAAATCCTGACCTCAGTCTGCTCTCTCAGATCCCAGCCATGCAGAGACGGCTGATCACGCCGTATGCCGACGCTCCGGATCTCAGCGCCTACGAGGACCAAGAGTGGGACTCCGCTGTGGACTGTAAAAGCACATCTGAAGCCGATCACTCCAGGTGTGAAATCTACCCTTCCTAAACACTGAAACATGTCTGTGTAGAGCTGTTCATCTGTATACAGAGTGTTCACTGTGTTTAATCTAGTGAGAGTCTGCTAAAGAAGGCCAAGATGAGGGCTAAGAAGAAACCGCGGCGCCGCTCCGACAGCTCTGGTGGATACAACCTGTCTGACATCATCCAGAGCTCTCCTAACGACGTCATCCAGAGCCCTCCTAATTATGTCACTCAGAGCCCGCCCACTCCAGGTTAACTTGCTCAATCTTGTCTTGAAGTGATAGTTTACCCAAAAAAGAACATTTACTGTTAGTTCACTCACTCTCAGGCCATTGAAGTTATGGGTGACTTGTTTTTCTTTCAGTAGAAACTAGGTTTTTAGCTGAATTTTTAGTTCTAATAAATCAGGAGGACTAATAAGGACTTCAACTGTTCATTTATACAAGTTAATCTTTGAGAGTTAATGATCTGCAGCGCACACAAACGTCAGTTGTACAGGCCTATTCCTGAATAGAAATGCTTTTAGTTTGTATGCTGTATGTTTTACATGATTGTTTTTTTGCACAGGTTTGGGTAATTCAGTGAAGGCCAGCTCAGTAGACTCTCTGCAGGAGCTCATCATGTCTGACTCTGAGGGCAGTTATATGGCTGTGGGGAGTCCTCGAGACCTGCAGTCTCCGGTCTTTCAGGTGATCACAACACACCTGGGGTCTCATTTATAAACATGCATTCATTGCTTCCCACCTGTATAAATACAAGCTATAATGTACACTACCTGACAAAAAACTTGTCGCCTATTCAAGTTTTAAGAACAAATAATAACTTCTAGTTGATCATTTGGTATCAGAAGTGGCTTATATGAAAGGCAAAGGACTCTAGAGCAAGATACCTTGACTTTAAATGATTTAATTAGGACAGTAAGGTCTGACTTTGCTTGGACAAAAGTCGTCACTGAACAGAAATAATGTCCAGTATAGAATATAAAGTCATGCTGCAGTGGAGACAGAATGAATATTGTGTCTGACTCCATCATGAGCTTGGAGGACTGCATCCATACATCTCTGACATGACTCAAATCACTGATCAATAAAGTCATCTGGAATGGCAAAGAAAGCGTTCTTGCAGGACTTTCAAGATTCTTTGCATTCATCTTCAATGCCTCCTCCTTCATCTTACCCCAGACATGCTCAATAATGTTCATGTTTAGTGACTGGGCTGGCCAATCCTGGAGCACCTTGACCTTCTTTGCTTTCAGGAGCTTTGATGTGGAGGCTGAAGTATGAGAAAGAGTGCTATCCTGCTGGAGAATTGTCCCTCTCCTGTGGTTTGTAATGTAATGGGCAGTCCATGCTGGTTCCAGTAATTCTTCTGCAGTATTAGTGATGATTGAGATGCTGTTCAACAGATGATTCATGGGAAAAATCTACCTCTTCCAAATGATCAACTAGAAGTCAAGTTATTATTTGTTGCTCTTACAACTGGGATCAATGACAAGCCTTTTTTCAGGTAGTGTATTAAACCAGTGTTTCTCAACTGGTGGGTCGCGGGAACATTTTGAGTGGGTCGCGGAGTGTGTGATCAAAAAAACAACAAAAGTTTATTATTTAACTTATTTTACTTATATCGGACTTTTATTTTGAAATGCGCGTGCCGAAGCATGCTAAGTGGGACTTTTTTTATTTGCCAGTAACCTTGGTTAAGCGCTTTTGGCGAACTGCAATGCAAAAACCGGCGAGTTTAAGGTCTGTTTTCTTTAAAAATCAGCGATCTCCACTGGCTGAGTGATATCCGATATAAAGTGGGCCTCAGATTGTACAAGAAGCACTGCATTAAATTACATTTCCCCCACCATGTCTTTATAATATGAGCATTTATTTTACCCCAGTATATTTAATGGAGCTTCTGCGCTAGCCTGCTGATTCTGAGGGGCGTGTACGAGTAAATGGCTTTTTTTCTCGTTTTACGCTTGAGCAACTAAATGAATGTATTTTAATGACGTTACAACATCGATGATGTAAAAGGAACCGTATAAAATGGGAAAAAAAGTTCACAATAACAGGTCACCGGAAGTTTATCAGTATGGGAACAACACTAACGTTAGCTCCGCATATACCCTTTTGACATGTGAAATTCCAGCGCAAGTACGACCCCGAATATGTAAAGTGTGGATTTAAATATTTTCACGACAAAAAGGCTTTAAACCTCAGTGTGTCATATGTAGTGAGGTGCTTTCACGAGAGAAATGAAACTTAAATTAAAACGACATTTAGAAACCAAACATCCCAGTTGCAAGGAAAAACCAGTGGGTTATTTTCTAAGACGACTCTAGTAGCTGAGGGCATCACAAAAGTGCCGAACATATTCATGTTCAAAACTAGTACAAGTACATCTTACTGTGCTCACCGTGTAGCAAAGGCCAAGAAAGCCCACACAAAAGCAGAACAGCAAATAACTGCTGATTATTATAAAATGGTTATGATTATTTTAATAATTTTACTTCAGTTTGCTGGTTTCTGTTCAGTTCAACCAGATCAGTGTTAATGTTTTATAAACAGTTCAGTTTAGTTAATGGTAACTGAACTTTTCCGTACACTAACCACTGTTTACAGTATTTGACATTTTTACTCTGTAATATTTCTATAATTTGATACATTTTGTTAAATGAGAGCAATAAAATATTGTTTATTTGTAAGTCTTGGTGATTTTCTCAAAATTTATCTGTCACTAGTTGTGTATGTTAACAATTAAATACAAATGAATTATAATTCCTAAAATCATATTATAATTCCTAAAAATTTGGGTCGCGGCTTGATGACCATGTAAAAATGTGGGTGCCATGGCCAAACCAGTTGAAAACCCCTGTATTAAACAAACTTGAACTCTATGTATTCATGTTGGCAGGATGAGAGACGTGGACCGGCAGGACTGAAGACTCCTCCGGGAACCCCTGTTTTGAAGAACGGCCCTGTGCCTGTCCAGTCTTCCACTCCTGAACACATCCCTACGGTCAAAGCCAGGTGACTGAACTTCTCTCTCACAGCAAGAAGCAGAGACTCCCTCTCTGTTTCGCTGTTATTCTGAATGTTTCTGTGTCTCCAGACCAGCTCCTGTCCTGGACCTCAGGGCCATCATGGAGATGGAGGCGAACTCTCTGAATCTGGGCGCCACTCCTAAAGCCATCAGCGGGTTAGTGGGGAATAGTTGATGAGGGGGCTATGAGTTATTCGTAAATATTGCATGAACATCAGAGCTGTGACTGCAAACCCAAATCTGTCATGTGTCTGGTTCAGACAGCTAAACTGCTTATTGCGGAAATCTTCTCATATTGTGTTATTATGACACGTGTTAGTCATGATAGTTTACACGAAATCATTTGAAACATGCTAGCAACATGCTAATTCTTGCCAGAAACATTCTAGCAACATGTTAATTCTTGCTAGAAACATGCTAACAGCATGCTAGTTCAAACTGGAAACATGCTAACAACAAGCTAACTCATGTTGGAATCATGCTAACAATGTGCTTATGAAGATCTATTTAATTGTCTTTTCGGCTTGGTCTCTTTATTGATCAGGGATTGCCACAGCGAAATAAACCGCCAACTTATCCAGCACGTTTTATGCAGCGAATACCCTTCCAGCTACAACCCATCACTGGAAAAGGATGTTTATTCAAATTAGAAACTGCTAACAACATGCTAATTCATGTTGAAATCATGCTAACAACATGCTAATGAGGTCTAATGAAGTGAAATTAAACAGTATTTACAATATTATTAGCTTTAAACCACAAACTGTTTAAATACTGGAGAAACATGCTAACACCATGCTAATTCATGCCAGAACATCCTAGCAACAAGTTAATTCAAGCTAGCATCATGCTAACAACATGCTAATGAAAGTTGAATGAAGTGAAATAAAACATTCTGTACAATATTATTAGCTTTAATTGACAGCCCGTTTAAAGACTTGAGAAACATGCTAACAACATGCTATTTCGTGTCAGAAACATCCTAGCAACTAGTTAATTCAAACTGTAAACATGGTAACAACATGCTAATTCACGTTGTAATCATACTAACAACATGCTAATGAGCTCTAATGAAGTAAAATTAAACATTATTTACAATATTATTAATTTAATTGACAGCCTGTCTAAAGACTGGAGTAACATGCTAACAACATGCTAATTCAAGTTGGAATCATGCTAACAACATGCTAATTCGTGTTGGAATCATGCTAACAGCATGCTAATGAGGGTCTAATGGAGTGAAATTAAGCATTCTGTACAATATTATTAGTTTTAATTAACAGCCCGTTAAAAGACTTGAGAAACATGCTAACAACATGCTAATTCATCCCAGAAACATCCTTGCAACTAGATAATTCAATCTAGAAACATGCTTACAACATACTAGTTCATGTTGGTATCATGCTAACAACATGCTAATGAAGGTCTAATGAAGTGAAGTTAAACATTTTGTACAATATTATTAGCTTGAATTGACAGCCTGTCTAAAGACTGGAGAAACATGCTAACAACATGCTAATTCTTGCCAGAACATCTTAGCAATAAGTTAATTCAAGCTAGAAACATGCTAACAACATGTCAATTCATGTTAGAAACATGCTAATTCATGTTAGATTCATAATCCAACGGTTATGATTCCATAATTCAAGCTAATGAAGTGGAATTAAACATTATTTACAATATTGTTAGCTTTAATCCATAGCCTGTTTAAAAACTGGAGATTAATTCATGTATAACCATAGTAAACATGATTCTAGCGTGAATTAGCATGCTAACAACATGCCAATTTCATGCTGGAATTATGCTAGCAATGCTTATTTATGTTAAATCATGTTGACTCATGTTGGAAACACGCTAACAACAGAATTGTGTTACAATATGCTAATCCATGCGTTATAATATAATGTAACATGCTTTTTAATTTATGTTGGTTTTAGCCAACTTGATACTTTTTCAAACTAAATAATCTATGGTGGCTTAAGAAAGCCTGTTGAAAGTGAACTTTAATATCTATCTATTTTCCCCCCGCTCTTTTTCTCTACATATTGTTTGCATGAACTCCAGATCGAGCAGCAGCAGCAAGATCTCCATCATTCCCAGTAAACTGTCCCAGAAGCAGAGGAAGATGTTGGCTCAGGCGTCCAGAGAGGGCAGCACTGAGAGCGTCTCTGCCAAATCACCACCGCCTGCTGCGCCCATCAAACCTGTGAAAACCTGGTGAGAGATTTGACCATTTCCTCTCTTTCCAATTGGTATTAATGCTAAATGTTCTAGCATCTTCTAAACCTTGTAGTGATATTTTGGTAACATTATTAGTTCCATGCCAAATACAGATAATTATTAATGCACAATATTACTTAATGCATTTAAGAATTAAGATAAAATCATAATGCACTATGCATTAAAAATATAGTTTGATCCAAGTATGGTATGTAAGCAAATAGTTTAAAGTGTAACATTTTTTTTAATTATTATTTTAAAATCTCATGTTGATATTTTTCTTAGTTTTTGTAATTTGATGTTTATAATAATATTCATAATAATAAAATTGGTTTCAGCACATAATTAAACAATTATTATAATATTAATTTTTTATTATTATTATTATTATTATTATTATTATTATTTGGGTTTAGCACATAATTAAACAATTAATAATATAATAATAATAATAATAATAATAATAATAATAATAATAATTTACTATTATTATTATTATTATTATTATTATTATTATTATTATTATTATTATTTGGGTTTTAGCACATAATTAAACAATTAATAATATAATAATAATAATAATAATAATAATAGTAATAATAATAATAATAATTTACTATTATTATTATTATTATTATTATTATTATTATTATTTGGGTTTTAGCACATAATTAAACAATTAATAATATAATAATAATAGTAATAATAATTGTTAATATTATTATTATTATTATTTGGGTTTCAGGACATCATTTAACTTTTTTTTTTTTTTTTTTTTTTAAGCATATGATGTTATCCATTTCATGTAACAAATGTTTTTTTTCCTTTTATTATTATTTCCTCTAATACCTTATAGGTATTTTAAATATATTACAATATATTGCTAATATTCAACAAGCAGTTTGTATTTTTTACCTATAATTATGACGTAATACATAAGACATTTAGCTTTATTTGACTGTTTTCAGGTCGACAGCGGTCCAGCCATCGCTCTCCTCCTGCTCCTTCCGGGATCTTTTAGCAGAGGAGGAGCGGCGTGGAAAAGCACCCCCCGTTTCTCCAGTGGCTGCAGGACCAGCATTGTCAAGTGCCAAAAGAGTGACGTTCAAATGTGCTGAGAATAGTGACCCGGAAAAACCAGCAGGGTGAGAAACATCACGTTCATTATTCAGTGTCTGATTAATGCAATTCACTGCACTCAAGACACTTTCACAGAGTCAAAGATTGAATCTGATTGGCTAATTTCTGCTATTTTCTGGCCAAACTTCAAAACCTGAGGTTGCTGCAGACTTTAATTACACTATAATGATGTGTTTCCAACTGCATTGGAATATTGAGTTGGGGGCGGGGCTTAATCTTTGCACTCTTACTCTTTCACAATTTACTTATTTGGTTATTTATTTCCTTATGTGTTTACTTATTTACTTCTTTGCATAATTACTTATACTTATTAACTTATTATTTATTTATTTACTTGCTTATTTATTTACTTATTCCTATATTTGTTTACTTTTTATTTGCTTATTTACTTATTCCTATATTTATTTACTTATTTACTTTTTACTTATTGCTTACTTTTTTACTTGCCTACTTATTTACTTATTGGTTTACTTATTATTTGCTTATGTATTTACTTTTTTACTTTGTATGTTTAATTAATTATTCATACACTTATGTACTTATTCATATATTTATTTACTTAGTTATTTGCTTATTCAAACATTTATTTGCTTGTGTTTTTGCTTATTTACTTTGCATATTTATTTACTTATTAATATATTTATTTACTTTTTATTTATTTGCTTATTTACTTTGCATATTTATTTACTTATTAATATATTTACTTTTTATTTATTTGCTTATTTACGTAGTCATACATTTATTAACTTATTTATTTTTTGCTTAGTTACTTATTGTTATTTTTCTTATTGATTTCTTATGATGTTGTCTTTCGAACTGTATTGGAATATTGAGTAGGTAGTGTGGCTTTTTTTTTTTTTTGCACTCTTACTGCTCTTTCACTTGCAGCAAACTAATGGTGGAAGGTGCATGGCTTAGCATATTTTGCCCAATCCGTCAAACTGACGTCATCAGATAAAGACTGCTGTTCCAGAGCGGAAGCTGATGAAAAGGCTATAAATAAAATAAATAATAACAATATTTTAAAAATGTCTTCATTTTAGTATCTGTGAGCTGCTATATTGTATATAGTTTTATTTTAGATTTGTTATCTGACATGCTAACGGAAAAGCAAAGTTTGCTCACATCAAGCACCGACAGGAAATTTTTGTATGTAGTATACTAGTTCCTGCTGCTTGCAATAGTGCTACTGTGTCGTCATGGCAACACTGGTTAATCAGATGAAGCCTCTTGACTCGTTCACAGTTAATAAAATGAGTATATTTTAATAAAATTAGTAAATTTTTAATAAAATTAAATCAGAAATTTTTATTTTAATTATATTAATTGTTAAATGTAGGAAGTTTTTAAATTTACTTTAATACTTAAATATTTATTTCAAAGCAATTGGTTTTTGCATTTGGCCGTGTGCATGCAGAATTAAATTTTCAGCCCAGAGTTTTAATTTCTTGTCTTTAAAGTGTATTCTGGGATTGCTTTCTTTCTTGGTGAAGCATGTGGTGTGTGGCATTTATGTGAAGTAAGCTCTTTTCTGAACAGCCGGCATCTTTAATGACATAAATGTCATCTTTGGTAGATTTTTGAATGTGAGCAAGTAGCCTCTTCTCTGTGATGCTTAGGATTTGTCTGCTCCTTTAGATGGCGCTGTTACGCTTCAGTATGAGTGAACAGCATCATGATGAGCTGCTGGAGTCAGTGGTGGCTATTTGTGTGCATGTATGTTACAGTCTGTCTCCGTTCATCATTGCTGTGTTGGAGACTGGTTCAGGGATTCTGTTTTGCAGTGTTGTAAAATGAGATGTTTTTGAACCTCGGCAGGTGTAGTTCCTTTACCTGTTTCTCAATGTGTTTTTAAATTTTTGCCTGTTTATATCTTTTTATAATTTAATTTATTTTATTTTTTAATTTATTTCTTTTGTATTTATTTATTTGTGTATTTATTTATAATTTTTTTTTTTCCAAAGCAGGTATTTTTTTGGTAATTTTAATATTTTCATTTAAACCTCAATTTTACACTCAGAGAAAAAAAATCAGGGTTCCATTTAGATCCTAAAGTACAAAAAAGCCCCTCAACTAACCCATCAAACATTCAAAACATTAGAATAAAATTTTAGATTGAAACCCACAAGCGACGCGCTGTCGTCTCACAGCCATAAAGTCGCTGGTTCAAGCCTCAGCTGGGTCAGTTGGCATTTCTCTGTGGAGTTTGCATGTTCTCCTCGTGTTCGCGTGGGTTTCATCTGGATGCTCCGGTTTCCCCCACAAGTCCAAAGACATGTGCTATAGGTGAATTGGGTAGGCTTAATTGTCCGTAGTGTATGTGTGTGAATGAGTGTGTATGGATGTTTCCCAGTGATGGGTTGCAGCTGGAAGAGCATCCGCTGCGTTAACATATGCTGGATAAGTTGGTGGTTCATTCAGCTGTGGCGACCCCAGATTATTAAAGGGACTTAGCCGAAAAGAAAATGGATGAATGAAGCCCACAGTAATATTTCAAATATTAGTAAGTTTAATATATATAAAATCATAATTTATTGGATGGACACTTTCAAATATTAAATATTGAAACAAATAACTATAACATTATTAAAAAATATTAAAACATAAAACATTTAATTCAAGCGTCATTTAAGCATAGAATCATGCAGTCTGTTTGTGGCTTGCATTTTGCTGATGCACGCATCATTAAACTGTGCTAAAATATATTAATTTATAACCCAAGTAATAATAAATGTGTGTATATATATATATATATATATATATATATATACAACACATACAAAAGATGCAAAAAGGTCAATATTAGGTCTTAAAATTATTTAAAAATGTTAAAACTAAATTAACTTTTTGTGGGGAAAAATAATAATAAATAAATGCCACAATTTTTCTGAGCAAATAACAAAAACATTTAATTATGTACACTGGTATTGATGTCATGGGGTTGTTTGTAAGTACTGTGAAATTCACACGCGTTACAGACTTATCCAAGACTATTCATTCATTTTCTTTTTGGCTCAGTCTCTTTTTAATCAGGGGTCGCCACAACGGAATGATCCGCCAAATTATTCAGCATATATTTTACGCAGCGGATGCCCTTCCAGCAGCAACCCAACACTGGAAAACACCCATACACACTCATTTACACAGATAACTATGGACAATTTAGCATATTCAATTCACCTATAGCGCATATGTTTGGACTAAAGGGGAAACCGGAGCACCTGAAGGAAACCCACGCCAACACGAGGAGAATATGCAAACTCTAAACTAGAGCTCACCAAACTTGTTCCTGGAGGGCCTGCAGACGTTAGCTCCAACCCTAATCAAACACACCTGAACATTCTAATCAAGGTCTTACTAGGTGTACTTGAAACATCCAGGCAGGTGTGTTGAGGCAAGTTAGAGCTAAACCCTGCATAGACACCGGCCCTCCAGGATCGAGATTGCTGACCCCTGCTCTAAACAGAAATGCCAACTGACCCACCGGAACCAGTCACCTTCTTAGGCAAGACAAGGCAAGTTTATTTATATAGCACATTTCATACACAATGGCAATTCAAAGTGCTTTACATAAACAAGAATAAAAGAAACAAGTAAAATTAAAATAAAAAATGATCTTACTGATCATGCTACCCACTGTGCCACCGTGACACCTATCCAAGGCTCAAAAAACCTCATTCTTCAGTGCTGAAGTGCGCTCGCTTTTGCGATTTAGCTGTAGAACTTCTGATTCAGTTGCCGACTGGAGAAATGACCCGGGAAAATAAACAACAGAAAACGGTCTAGCTACTTGCTCTACAAACAAGTGTGTTTATGACTATACGTACACATAGAATAATATAATAAGAAAATATCCATTGCAGCTTAACAAGCTGACAAAAAATACAGAATAATAAAACTGACCCAACTTCAACATCAACTTTCATTTTCTTTTCTTTTAATTCTGCCAGTATTAACCCCACTAGCGCTACTAAATCAGCATCTGTAGGTCATTCATGACAGCTGTGCTCGTGTTGTCTTAACTTGCTTGAGCTGGTTTGATCATTGTTTATTTACTCAAAGCCAGTGTCAGGAGCAGTTTGTCTGATTCAGGGTGTGATGTTGAGTGTGTGCGCGAGTGTTTTCTGTCGGCTCTGTTCTGTAGGTGTGTGTGTGTGCCGTAAAGCCTCATGTTTCTGACTCCAGCACTCTGAATATTTATCATCAGTTCTACTGGCCGCCTCTGATTGTAATCTCTATTGATAAGGGCAAACTTTGTCACAAACACTCTCATCCCGGCGGCTCCACGTCATCTGTGTTTATGAGCTCTAGCTGAGCACACTAGAGAAAGTCACTTGCGCATCGCTGTTTTGAAGTCAGCTGCTTTAGTTTCAGATTTAAATTTTTATCGTTGACTTTAAAAAAATATATAGAATTTACTTATTTACTTATATTTATATTCTTATATATTTACTTTTTTTTGCTTATTTACTTAGTAAAAATGTATATGTTTATTATTGAATATTTAATATTTAAATTATTTAATTAATTAAGCAAATAAATAAACACATAAGTAAACATATAAGTAAATAATTAGGTAAAAAAATATTTTTATTTGCTTGTATTTATTTATATTCTTATATATTTACTTATGTATGTATTTATTTAGTAAATATTTATATAATTACTATTGAATATTTAATATTTAAATTATTTACTTAACTAAATAAATAGGCAAATAAATAAATAAATAAATACATAGGCAAATACATAAGTAAATATATAAAAATATAAATAAGCAAATAAGTAAATAATTATGTAAATAAATATATAAATATTTTTATTTGCTTGTATTTATATTCTTATATATTTACTTTTGTATTTATTTATTTGCTTATTTATTTACTTAGAAAATATTAATGTATGTACTATTAAATATTTAAGATTTGAAATATGTACTTAAGTAAATAAATAGGCAAATAAATAAATACAAAAGTAAAATATTTAAGAATATAAGTGTGCAAATAAGTAAATAATTAGGTAAATAAATATTTACCTATTTGCTTTTATTTATCTATATTATTTTATGTTTTACTTTACTTACGGATTTGCTTATTTATATTTAGATTCTTATGTATTTACTCATTCATATACTTATGATTTTTGTTTACCTATTCATTTATTTATCTACTTATTTTCTTCTTTACTTGTTTATTTGCTTTTTATTTACTTATTTGCTTATTGACTTGTTCATATGTTTTTTAATTTTTTTACTTGTGTATTTATTTACTTTTTTCTTGCTTAAGCACTAAAGCTGATCGTCTTGTGTTTTTCCCATCAGCCCCTGGGTGCTGCGGGCAGCTGGAAGTCCGCCGTCCATGTCCACATTTGCCTCTATTGTGGAGGAGGAGAGACAGCAGGAAGCAGCTCTGATCCGCAGCCGAGACAAACCACTCGCACTCATACAGGTAACAGACACACCTGTGTTATCTGACACACTTAATTACTCTAAATCATTAGAAAACTATAGTGTGGCATTTGACATGGCAGATGACTTAAAACTAAGAAAGTGGTGTAATGTGCTGAATTAATCAAAATCTCTCCTTTAAACAGAAATTGGGGGAAAAAATAAACAGGGGGCTAATAATTCTGACTTCAACTGTATATATATTTATTTATTTATTTATTTTTATTTTATTTGATTTTATTTTTGGTTTTATTTTTTAAATATATATTTTTTATTTTTATTTATTTTATCTTTGATTTATTTACATATTTCTTCTTATTTTAAGGTAATTTATTTTTATTTAATTTATTTACGTTTTATTTAAATTTTATTTTTTTTTATTTAATTTATTTTATTTTATTAAATGTTTTTATTTTAATTTAATTGTATTAATTAATTAATCAATTTGTTGTATTTATTTAAAAAAAATGTAATTTATTATTTATTTAATTTTTTTAAATAAATTCTTTTTATTATTTTATTTTTACTTTGATTTTAAATTTATTTTTATTTAATTATTTTTTATTCACTTTTTTATTTATTTTTTATTTTAATTAAATTTATTTTTATTTATTAAATTTATTTATTTATTTATTAATTGTATTTATTATTATTTAATTATTTATTTTATTTTTATTTGTTTAGTTAAGTTTTTTTATAATTTTTTTTTTAACTTTTATTTTTTTTATTCATTTGATTTATTAATTTATTTATTTTTATTTTCATTATTACATGAGAACAAATAATGATGTCTTCAAATGTACAGTTGAAGTCAGAATTATTCGCCCTCCTGTGATTTTTCTTTTTTTCTTTTTCAAGTATTTTCCAAAATATGTTTGATGGAGCAAGGGATTTTTCACAGTATAATATTTTTTCTTCTAGAGAAAGTCTTATTTGTTTTATTTCTGCAAGAATAAAAGCAGTTTTATTTAAAAAATAAATAAATAAATTTAATCATTATACAATGATTGCCTAATAAATTTAACCTGCCTAATTATCCTAGTTAAGCCTTTAAATGTTGAATACTAGTTTCTTGAAATATATTGAAATATAAAAGATAAAGGAAGTGAGTTATTTAAAATGAGTTATTAAAACTATGAGTTTTAGAAATGTGTTGAAAAAATCTTCTCTCCGTTAAACAGAAATTAGGGAAAAAATATACAGGGGGTCTAATAATTCTGACTTCAACTGTCTGTTTCCTATGTTGACCTTTTTTTCATCTGTATGATAGATTGAAGAACGAGCCGTTCAGGACCTGTTAATCCATTACAACGCATTTAACAACCCAGATGAGCTGATACTGGTGGAGAGGTCAGATCAAGGCCCAGTCGCCACCCCGACCTGGAACAAACACTGAACCCTCACAGTAACCATCACACTTACACCTAGGATTACAGCAGTATTCATCTGTGTCAATCTGAGTTCTGTTTCCCAACATTGTTCTGCATTAGCCACACTCGTTTAACTCTACTGCTTTAACTCTGCTGTTTCCTCTTGAGAATATGAAAGAGAAACTCTGGAGAGTCGCCACATGTGCCAAAATATGTTTGCTGCATCGTTTCTCTCTTTATTTTTTTATGATCCAGTGGTTTAATGATCTGCATCTCACAGGTAGTGTGTGTTTTTTTGCAGATTTAACACGCATATCGCTACGAATCGGTGTTAATTTTGTCAATGAAAATAAGGTGGCAAAACGTTCGCTTATAGCTTAACACATACAGGTCATTTGCACTAGACGCGGTCACCGATCTGCTTATTTAATGAATGAACAAGGTTATTGTTGACGATAAACAGATAAAAAGACTAAAATGTAGTCAAAAAATAAATATGTTAATTTATAATTTCCTGCATTGCCTGGCTCTTTTATTAAATAAACAGATCTGAGGGCAACAGACCTGTCAATATTCTTTGTCAAAGCCATTTTTGTTGACGAAATGATCTCTGCTGTGAAAGTTTGTGACTAGATAGAAAAATGTAATCAGCCATACAAAGCAAAAGACTGTTTTAGGGGCTGATTTAAAAGAACACCACAACAACAAAAGAGAGATTCACACACATGCATTTTTATTTGCTTTCTCACACAATCAACATAACATTCTCATTTAGGGCTGGGTCTAATAATAGGTTTTTTGTTGTTGTTAAAGGGATAGTTCACGCAAAAATGACAATTCTGTCCTTCACTTGTTCTATATGTGTTCGAGATTTTTCGTCTTCTGTTGAACAGATTTGAAGATATTTTGAAAAATGTGGGAAACTGGTAACAATTGACTTCCATAGTATTTGTTTGACTTGCTATAGCTGTCAATGGTTACCGGTTTCCGAAATTATTTTTGCTCTTATAGGAATAACAAATACTATTGAAGTCAATGGTTTCAAAAATTCTTCAAAATATCATGTTTTTTTTTTATTTTTTCTAAACAAGAATTTTGGAAACCGGTAACCATTGACACCACTTGTAGAAAAAACAATTGCTATTGAAGTCAGTAACTATTGACTTCAGTAGTATTTGTCATCTGTTTTTTTTTTTTTTGGGTTTTGTTTTTTCAGCAGGAAAAAGAAATTTTTGAAACCAGTAACTATTGACAGCTCTAGTAGGAAAAATGAATACTATTGAAGTCAATGGTTACCAGTTTCCTGCAAAGGGAGTCAATGGTTACCGGTTTCCAAAATTGGTACACAAATTGATTTAAAAAAAATAAAAAATACTATGGTTACCGGTAACCATAAACTTCAGTGGTATTTGTCAATGGTTACTGGTTTCCAAAATTCTTCAAAATATCCTTTTTTTTCAGGAAGAGAATTTTGGACACCGATAACCATTGACACCACTAGTAGGAAAAACAAATACTATTGAAGTAAATGGTACCAGTTTCATACTGAGGGTGTCAACAACCAGTTTCCAAAATCAGTACTCAAATTGGTTTACAAAAAATAATATATATATATATATATATATATATTGAAGAATTATGGTAACCATTGACATCCTTTATAGGAAAAACAAATTACTACTATTGAAGTCAATGGTTGCTGGTTTCCTACTAAGGGTGTCAATGGTTATTGGTAACCATAAGCTTCAATATTATTTGTCTATGGATGCTGGTTTCCAACATGTTTCAAAATATCTTCTTTTTTCTGCTGAACTGCAAAAGAAAAGAAGATATTTTGAAGAAAAAACAAATACTATTAAAGTCAATGGTTATTGATTTCCTCCAAAGGGTGTCAAGGATTACAGATAACCATTGACTTCAGTAGTTTTTGTCAATGGTTGGTTTCCAAAATTCTTCGAAATATCTTCTTTTTTTTCAGGGAAAGATATTTTGAAGAATTTTTGGTATTTGGTAAACATTGACACCCCTAGTAGGGAAAAGAAATACTATTGAAGTCGGTGGTTACTGGTTTCCTACTAAGGGGCGTCAATGGTTATCGGTAACCATAAACTTTAATGGTATTTGTCAATGGTTACCGGTTTTCAAAATTCTTCAAAATATCTTCTTTATTTGTTCAACAGAAACAAGAAACGTTTTTAAAGCACCTTGGAGTGGGTAAGTAGTGAGTAAATTTCCATTTTTGGGTGAACTATGCCTTTAAAACATTATTCTAATATGAATGGGACGATAGATTTAAAAAGTAAAATTTAATTGTTTGTTCTTTGAATACCTCAGTTATTTTTGCTTCATGTTAATGAGGAGATATTTGCAGTGGCATGCAATAAAGAGTTGAATGTGAGCATCAGCAGTTGTTTTGCGTCTCTTTTTATGAACATACAGCGGGGGAAATTATTATTTACATGTCACCATTTTTCTCAGAAAACGTTTCTAAAGGTGCTGTTGACTTGACATTTTCACAAGATGTTGAAAACAACCACAGAAATCTATAAATGCAAAGAAAACAAATCGAATTAGTTTACAAATGAAGTTATGCTTAATAAAATAAAATGATGCAGGAAAAACAGTTTTGAACACATGAAGAAAGGAAGGGGTAGAAAGGCAGTGAAAGCCCAGACAGCAATTGAAATCTCTCGGTAGTTCTTCAGCAACCCTCAACCCTTTCTCAGTGTGAATGAATATATGCTGCTTCAGTCCAACATCTACATTAGCAGGATGATGAAGATGAATTGAGAGACATTTGGACATTTCAGCAAGACAATGATCTAAAATACAGCCAAGGAAGTTCAAATGCTTTCAGAGAAAGAAAATCAAGCTGTAGAATGGCCCAAACAATCGCCTAACTCAAATCCACTTGAAAATAAGAAAATAAAGCTCAGATTTGATAGACGAGACGCACAGAACCATCAAGATTTTGACACTGCTGAAGTCTGTGAAAAACTCACAGCTGAGCAGTTCATGTGACTTCATTCTCCACATTAAGCTGCCATCGTTAAAAAAGCCTTTTATATAAAGTATTAAATACGTTTCAGGAGTTCAGTTCTTTCTTCTTGTGTCATTTCTTTGTTTTTACACACAAATCATTTGTCAGATTTTTTTTGTTTTGTATTATTTTTGTTTGTATTGTTTGGGTTTTTCACGAAATCTGGTTCATTTCCACATCAACAGCTCCTTTAGAAATATTAATCCCAGAAAAAACATGACGTGTTCAATACTTTTTCCGCCGCTGTACTTCATCATTTTCTCTGCCTCATGTTGGGAATTATTATTATCGTTTTTTTTTTATTTTACTGGAGGTCTCCAGATCTGCCATTAGTATGTTAAACACATTGCCCTCCACTTACAGTCGGCACATGTTAATTGGAGATTTGAATGAGTATTTTAACATAAAAATGTGACAAATCATCTTTAATTGCTCTTCATTTTGATAAAACTATGGCTCTGTGACCTGGTCAAGTGATCTGCTGGTATAATTTATCCCTCTTTTTTTCCTCTTATTAAATTGCTTTTAATTTGATTGTTTTCTGGCTGTATTAAAGTGACAGTCCACTCATTAATGGACATTTTCTCACCATTTATTCACGTGTGGTGGAACGGGAGATTGGCATCATGGATGTACAACCGACAAATCTGCAGCAACTGCGTGATGCTATTATGTCAATATGGAGCAAAATCTCTTAGGAATATTTCCAGAACCTTGTTGAATCTATACCACAAAAGATTAAGACAGTTCTGAACGCAAAAGAGGGTCCAACCCAGTACTAGTAAGTTGTACCTAATAAAATGGCCGGTGAGTATCTATCTATCTATCTATCTGTCTGTCTGTCTGTCTGTCTGTCTGTCTGTGTGTATATGTATATATATATATATATATATATATATATATATATATATATATTTGTGTATACAGTATATGCTTGTATATAACTGTAAATATGTATGTATATAACTGTTTTGACATTATTTACAAAATGTGGCTTAGAAATAACTAAATTATAATGGGTCAAGTAAAAAATATTCCACTGGCTAATACTAAAAATCCTTAACGTTTTGTCTGGTAAACATCTGAAATTTCATTCAAAATGATCTTAAAGATGTATCTATATATAGATACTAAACATAAACATACTGATACTAACATCTAAAAAAACATTTAATTTCACAGGACCTTTAAACTAAAGTGTTTCTTTCCAGACAGGATGACGAATGTTTCATAAATCTAATATGATAATCACGACCCTGGTGTCCGTCTGTATCTGCTTTTAGCCGAGCGCTTGACTCAGTGTTTTTACAGTTGTCGGGGTCACAGAAGATCTGGCCTGGAGTGACGTGACTTGAGTGATGTCACCGCTTCTTCATTTGTCAAATTTGCACTCATGCAGTCATCTCAAGCCCGTCTTAATGAATTTGATGTTTGGTGTGATTCGATTGAGCAGACGGTCCTTTCCTTTCCAACAAACCTCTCTCTTTGCATACGTTACGGTCATCAGAGTATTAAAAACTCTCGGTTCAGCGAGCTCATGAGATGACCCCTCCAGAAATAAGTGCGTGACGGTTAAGGGTCCTAATATACAGTAATGAGCGCAACCCGGCAGTTCAAGCATCTGCCAGACACGCAGTGAGCTGAATGATGATCACGCACTCATCTCTATTAGTCAGAGAGGAAAAGTGATGCCCAGAGAAGCCTACAAAGAGCATCAAAAATACTATAGTAATTTAAAGTAAATACTGTACGGTTTGAAATACAGCAAATCGATCACACAAGGAACAAATGAAAATTTAAATTTGTTGGTCCTTACCAAAGGGACCCTATACCGAGATCAAGAGGGAGGTATTTGAAATGAATCAAAAAGAGGAAGGGATATATCAGATTTAATATGATGGGCTTTCTTTAGCACCGGGCTTTTAGACAAATAGGATAACCCCAGCAATTTTACCCCCCAATACTTTGCTGCAGGTAGGCATGGGACGATAACTGGTTTCAAGGTTTACCGCGGTTTGGAAAAGTCATGGTTTTCAAACCACAAACATTTTCATATCATTCCTCCCATTTCCCCAATTTCTGTTTAACGGAGAGAAGATTCTTTTCAAAGCATTTCTAAACATAATAGTTTTAATAACTCATTTCTAATAACTGATTTATTTTATCTGTGCCATGATGACAGTAAATAAAATTTCACTAGATATTTTTAGCACACCTCTATCCAGCTTAAAGTGACATTTAAATGCTAAAATTAGGTTAACTAGGCAGGTTGGGGTAATTAGGCAAGTTATTGTATAATGATGGTTTATTCTGTAGACTATCGAAAAAAAATATTGCTTAAAGGGGCTAATAATGTTGACCTTAAAATGTTTTTAAAAAAAATAAAAAGCTGCTTTTATTCTAGCCGAAATAAAAACAATAAGACTTTCTCCAGAAGAAAAAATATTATCAGACATACTGTGAAAAAAAAATGTCTTGCTCTGTTAAACATCATTTGGGAAATATTTAAAAAAGAAAAGAAATAAAGGGGGCTAATAATTCTGACTTCAACTGCATGTGACTGTTTTGTTTGTTTGTTTTTCATGTGTGTTAAGACTATTTAATTTAGTTTATTATAGGGTAAAAATTATCTCCAGAAGAAAACAGCAGAAGTCAACCAAGATTTTTTTTTTTTTATTTAGCCACGTGTTATTGACATTTTAAGGGCCCTATCATACACCCGGTGCAGTGTGGCGCAAGGCGCGGCGCAATAGTCTTTTGGTAGTTTCAGCTTGGCACAAGAGTGGTTTTGAGGCGTTGCGCTACGCTGTTTAATTAGCAAATGCATTAGCGCTCATATGTGCGCCCATAGGCGTTCTGGTCTAAAAAGGAAGGCGTTCTGAGGCGGACCGCTGGCGCGTTGCTATTTTGAGAAACTATAATAGATTTTTCATCAGACCAAAACAAACCTGGTCTAAACTCCAGCGCAGAGTTGCGCCTCGCTTACACACTGCTTAATACACACAAGAGAGCAATAGGCAAATATCTTTACATATTAAAAAATGTAAATATTAAGGATATATATAGGATTTAATAAGAATAGATATAGGATATAAATATAAAGGATTAAAATATTACAAAACATATTATTTTCTAGCCTACATAAATATGAAAAATCACTGCTTTTATGTCTTCTTCATCTCTGGAGGCTTTTTCAGTTCATTCATAACAATTTGCTTTTGTATAATGTTATTATTATTAGCAGTATTATTTATTATATCCATATTTATATTTGTTTGATTAAAAACAAGCTTAGATTTGCCCACCTGCAGGTTTTAGACCATATGGGGCACAGCATGTGTTTTAGGATATAACTCAGGTTTTTGAGCACATTGTGTTATTATTGTTCATTTATTCGTTTGCTGTAAATTAGAACTGAATTTAGAAATAGTTTTGAAACAAATATTTGCGCTTAACAAACAAAATTATTTATTTATAGACTAATTGATGTCTGTGTGTAAAGGTTTCCCTATCCAAGAGCGAATGTGAAAGTAGATCTATTATCTCTCATTCTCACGCAGTAGATGCTCTGTTTAACAGTTTTCTGTTAAAAAAGCTGTTAACTGTTTGCTAGTGAAATGCTCATTTTTTCTTTTTCTTACTTTGCATCCTGTAAATAGCGAATGCGCTCTTGGCGCGATGCAGCTGGCTCTTAAAGGGAATGGGAGATGAGACTCTTATTGGTTTATTCTCAAAACACACCTATAACTCATTAAGAAAATAAACTCAACCTTTTTAGCCCATACGCCATGACGCAAAGCAGATTTTCCCGTCCTTAAATTAGCAAAAACGCGTTCTGACACGCCCTGAAAGCGTTTGCGCCCTGCGTTTTGCGCTCTGCGCATGGACCGTCAAAATAGAGCCCAAAATGTTCCTTTAAAAAAATATAGCGTTCAGTGTCCTAATTTAAAAAAATGTTTAGGGTGGATAAATCCAATTTTTTCACAGGGTTTTTTATCCAGATATTTAAAAAGAACATATTTTAGAGCAGTAATCAGGATACTGTGATACCGCAAAACCGTGATATATTTGTTCAAGATAATCATACCATCAGAATCTGAGACCGGCCCATGCCTAGCTGCAGTTAAAACCTTAGACAGCGAGTTCTTCTGTTTTACTTTTAAAGTAGCAAAGCAACAAATCAAAGATTAAGTTCAACTGGATATAGTGTTTGGTATGTGGTGTAGCGTTGTGCAGTGTCTGGTTTGTAGTGTAGTTGTGTGTTGTGTTGTGTAGTATCGGGAGCTCCAGCTGCTCTTCCCCCTCTGATCTGGTTTGTCAGCGCTGTATGCAGGCGTGTGGATTATCTGACTGATGAGCAGCTC